TTCCTTCCTTCCTTCCTTCCTTCCTTCCTTCCTTCCTTCCTTCCTTCCTTCCTTTCTTTCTTTTTGAAACAGGGTTTCTCTAGCTGTCCTGGAACTTGTTCTGTAGATCAGGCTGGCCTCCAACTCTCTTACAGAGATTACCCCTGCCTCTGCCTCCTGAGTACTGGGATTAAAAGTGCACACCACCACCACCCTCAGCTCAACTTGAGCTTTTTCTAATCACTTATTACAGGCACATAGTTGGGATACTTTCTCCCAGTGCTGGAAAGTTGGGGGAAGGGATTCATATTTAAAGACTCCCAAGGCCGCCAGATCCGGAGGAAGAAGCATCCCTTGAAGGTAGGGACCAGGGAGAAGTGAATGAGGATGTGGATCCTGGCACAGACCCAAAGCAGAGCTAAGCTGATTGCAGGAGGGGCACAGGAACCAGGAGAAAGTGTACCAGGCTGTAGAACAGAGCCAATGTTTGGTCCCTGTCACTAAGAAGCCACACAGCCTCGCATTTATCACTTAGTGTCTTTGTGCCTCAGTGTCTCCAAGTGAACAGTAACGGGCTCACAGTGACATAGCATCTCCAAGGTCTCTTTCCCCAGGGGTGGGAGAAATGAACATGGTTTTAAGGTGAACAAGAGAATGGCAGCGCGGTATACACAGGTGCTGGGGAAGATGGGAGATAAGTGAGGAAGCCCAGGCAGAACACAAGGCTGCGGCTGGTGCCTGCACCTACAGTCAGAAGTAGCAGAGGTGTGAGCAGGAGGGAGAGGAAACCTGATGACAGAAATTAAAATGTGTACATCAATATTATATATAATCTATATGACACCATATGTACTTTTGTTCATTTGCACAACTTCAGAAATAAGTACCATTGCCTTCATTTTGCAGATAGAAAATCAAAGCCGACAACGGTTAATGATTAAGGTTTCTTTAGGACCACACTGCCAGTTAGAGCAGAGCCTAAGTTCAATCTCTGACGCTTGCATCTTCTGCTACCTTGCTATCCTTCCGTCATCATGTAAGAATCAAGCCTTAGAGGTCTGAAGCCACGAGCAATGCTCAAACTAGAGGGGATGTGGCCAAAGTGATTGATCTCAGGAAGCTAATATGTCGGCGTGAGGTACTAACGAGGGGGCCTCAAGAAATGAAGAAAGAAAGGTGAGAATCTTCCAGAGTACGAAGGAAAAGAAGCAAGGGAGACTGGTCAGGGTTTGATGACTAACTGGAGTCAAGCTTGGCTCTAACGCACTTCTGGGTAACGGAAGCCGTGTGGCATGTATCATTGTGGAGAACAGGCATGCAGGAAGGTGAATGGCATGGGAAAGAAGTGTGATGTTGGCTCTGGATGTGTGAGGTGGGTGAGCCCAGGCATGGACTGGCACAGAAAGAGTCTATTGGAAAGAGACATGGAACAATATGGGAGGTTGCAGTTGTGGCCACCGGCAGCACCAATATAGAGCAGGGTAGTCTGACCTCAGTAGATGGAGGGAGACTACAGTGCCAGGGCTGGCCATTAGTGACCTCCAGGCAGCTGGAACAGGATCCTGGCAAAAGGGGTGCAGGGAAGAGAGGGGAATTCTAAAAGGTGACGGTGGTGTGGAAGTTAGAGGTTGGCCCAGTAACCACAGAGGGTAGGAAGGGTGATTCAGGGCAGGAAAGAGGAGTACCAGAGAAGAGGAAGAGGGTGAGGTTGCCAGGGAGATAACAGATGGATGATGACTGGAGTGAAGGACCAGGGCAGAGTTGGACAAAGACAACCAGAACGTCAGAAAGGAACTTCTACAGCTTTGCACCCTTAGCAGTCAGAAGATAGAGGAGAGGTTTTGAGTCACTGAGAGCACTACGACCCCACCTTTAGGAAAGTGTAGAAGGTAAGACTTCTCCCAGTGTCTGGTGAACCTGTCGTAGCCCTGCTTAAAGACTGACAGGCTCTGGTTTAAAGAGTTCCAGGGCTGGGGCCAGGGCACACAGATAACTGGACTGGCTGGTGCAGTTCCTGTCTTTATTACCAGAGCCTCTGACCCCTGAGGCACTGATACAGATTTAGCTGAGGCAGCAAGTGATGGAAAATCACTATGCCCTGACAGCAGCTTGGTGGTGCATGGGAGAGAAGCTGGGCAGGGTGCCTGCTATGAGTTACTAAGGCTCTTGGTGCCCATCCATGACCCCAGGCAGTGGGCACCTGCCAGGCACCAAAGCTGATCATACGGAATTTAAGAACTAGGGTTCTGAAAACTCTACGGTTATTTATATTCCTCCTACATCCTGGGCTCAATGTGAAAGAGAGGGCACTGCTCCCCTTTCCCACACAGGATGCTCTTCCTCTTCATTTCAGTGAGAGCCACCCTACTCTGTGCTTTAACTTGCTCCCAATAAAGGGACTGCTGGGATTGTAATGTCTCCCAAGGATGCATGGATAGCTAAAGGAATTCAGATCTTGGTTTTGCTTTTTTTTAAAAGATGTTTCCATTTTTATTTTACAAATATTTGCCTGTATGTGTGTGTAAATACTATGCGCATGTCTGGTACCCATGGGGGACAGAAAAGAGAATTGGGGCCCCTGGAACTGGAGTTCTAGACAGTTGTGAGCCATGATGTGAGTGCTAGGAAGCAGGCCTGGGTTCTTTACAAACTCAGCCAATGCTCTTAGCCATTGAGCCAGTTCTTTAGGCCTTGGTTTGTTCTGCCTTTGTTTGTTGTTTTGTAACAGGGTCTCACTATACAACTCAGAAATGCCTCAGAGCTGGTCCTCCTGCCTCCCAGGTGCTGAGTGGTAGTAATCCAGGTGTGTCCAAACCCTTGGACTTGTGAGGGGTTTGGGATATGGCCTCCAGGCTCAGTCTACCTGAGTCAGAACCCCAGCTCTGTTTAACTCTTCTTGGGAAGCCCTTGGACTTTCTTACTCCTTTCTCTGCGAAATGAGATAGTACTACTATGGACTTCCCAGGGCTGCGGCGAGGATTAAGTAGGATAATTCATGTAAAGTGATTAGAATGATGGTCGGTTCAATAAATGCTAGCTGTAATAATAATGTTCACGTGTGTTATTATCCCTGTGGGTGACCCCTACGCCGAGCTGCTTTCAATTTAGGGGCCAAGCCAGGTGCAGGCAGGAGGCCTCCCTTCTTAATATGCCCCAACTGGATCAATGCAGGTACTCCCTGGGAAGATAGGGAGAAGACAAACAGCAGCCGGAACCATGGCTGATCCCAAGAGGTTGTAATCAGAAAGACTTCCCAGAAGGCGGACTGCGCCTGGACTGACTTCTGCCTGAATGCCCTGGTATGGACCCACAGAAGATTCAGGTGGTCAGGTGAGGTCACTTCCTCTTTGGTTAAACTCCCAGGAGACCTCCACTTCCTCCCACCTTGAAGATCAAAACAGTCTCAGGTGCTCTCCCAGCAAGCCTGTTACATTGGTGAGGAGATAACTCAACCTTCACTGGGAAGCCGGACTCCTACTTAACCCTTCCCTGTCTTTCTCCATCTCCTCCTCTCTGTCTCTGCTCCTCTTTCTCCCTCTTTGTCCATCTGTCCATCTCTTTGCACCCTGAAGTCCCACTATGACTGTGTGAGTTTATTGATTCCCGGGAGCTGGGGGAAAGCGGGAGGGAGGGCTGGGGTGCAGGGCTCGGGGATGGAAATAGAAGGCTATAAATTATTTGTGACAGGAAAGCAATAGAGGCAGAGTGCTGAGCACAAGTCCTGTGTCACTATTAGATCCCTTTTAGCCTGATGACACTGTAAAAAAGGTTAAGTGTCTGCTGGAATCGTACACCTGGGGGGCCGGGTTGGCCTGGGAGCAGAACAAGCCACTGAGAGCAGGTATATCAATTCTCCAGGCCAATAATATTCCTCTCATTGATCGCCACGCAAAGTTCAAAAATCTCATTACAGCCAGGCAGACCGGGAACTTTTTACAAATCAATAGAATGATATAATGTATGTATACTTAGTACAAATGTATCTATTCATCCATCCATCCATCCACGGTCTGCCTCAGGGTTTCCAAGTTAGCCTACCCATCATATTATGTTATGTTATGTATGATAGCATGTTGCATTATATTATATGATAATAAATGGTGT